TGGAGTTTCAAAGGGTGGGGGCAGAAAGGCTGAAGGCCCGAGCACTTTTGGTTGCTCCAAGGTAACATATCTGGCAATGGAATATCAGAATCAAGCCAGCCCTCTGTGACGGTCTCGTCTGGTTCCTGGGCCAGGCAGGTCTGCAGTATTCCAGGGCACTGGCTCATCAACAGGACATGGAATGGCAGACCAGTCATTGGGGCAGAGAATCCTCCTACTCAGCTGTTAAATCCTGCAAGCCAAAGCCCTAATGAGTAGGGTGGTCTTAGTTGGACGAGGAGCTGGGAAAAAAAATCATCCGAACCAATCTTGATCTAGTGACCTTGTATCACATGCAAAAATTGTCATCATGACAGGTTAGAGTTCTGGAGCGCTTTAAGGTGGGTAATTGGAGTTGAGATCCAGATCAGCCTTGATCCAATAGAATGGTGGGACAGGCTCGAGGGGCTGAATAGCCTCCTCCAGTTCCTATGTTCCTCCCTCCCTCCCTCCCTGGGTCATGCCAACACGTCTCTAATTGCTACACATCTACTGGCAACCTGACCGTTAACCATGTGAAGTGACCTGAAAGGAACAAATCTTTTGGACATCTTAGACAAGTAATGAGGGAAAGTCTGTTTTGCATCCAGTTATTAGGAGCAATTCGTGTTCAAATCATTCATGCTTTTCTAACCAATTAATCTTATTTGTCAGACTCTCAGACTCTCATTAAACAGAAAGGAAAAGGCGAAACTTAACTCTTTACGAGGTTCTGTGCTCCGATCGTAGTTGTGGGTGAACCCAAACCGTGCTTTTTGTTGGCCGGTCAGTGTCTGACACGTGCGGAAACCTATCACAGTTGCTTAAGAGTCTCCAAACCCGACTGAGAATCCCATGCATCCCACCCAGGCATGAAAATCCCAGAGACAGGTTGTTGGAATGGGCTGTGCCCTCTCTCTCTCTCTCACTCTCTCTCCCTGGAGGGACACATCCTGCTTAACTAGTTCTGGAAAGTACAAGGTGCAGGTTGGCAAGAGCCAAGGCTTGGGGGGGAGCCCAGAGTGTGCGTTGAGGTAACTGCTGGAATCCAACCAGCCCAAACCATATCGCTTGCCCATTGATATCGCTGCCTGCATTCCCACTGCTTGTCCAGCTAGGACCACCCTACCAGTTAGGGCTTCGGCTTGTAGGGTTAACAGGAGCTGTGTGGGAGGATTCCCTGCCTCCAGCAACTGTTCTGCCCTTCTAAGTCCTGCTGATGATCCAGGCTGGGCAGCGCCCTGGGGAGCGGAACAGGAGTGTGCGAAAGGCAACTGAAAACTTGCTCGACTATTTCAAGGCAGGTGATAACACTATCAATCCGGAGCCTCCATCCAAATTTGTCTGTAAATGTTGAGGTGTCCGAAAGTGCTTTGCAGGGATTTGCTGTTAGGTGCAGTGACTGTGTGTTGCCGTAGGCTATCGCTGCAGCTGTTTTGAGCACAGCGAGGTCCCGCAAAACAGCCCGAAATGATTGGTATGTGGGGTGTGAGGGGGGAAGATTGTCGGCCATGTGTACAGTGACTTTCACGTTGGGAAGATGTCCCAAGGTGCTGGACAGTCAGGGATTTGGGGAGAGTGGAGGGCAGGGAGGGTAGGCATAGGAAGGTGAACCGAAGGTGCGATCGAAGAGGAAGGTCTTGAGATAGGCTTTGAAGGAGGCAAGGGAGGGGGTGTTGGGGGGGGGGTCATCCGAGTGTCTCATCCCAAGGATGAAGCCACCAACAATGCAATGCTCTCCCTCCCCACCAGCACTGAATCAGGTGGAGTCTCACCTTAGCTCAAGGTCCATGACCCACATCCACAATACCAGAGGGCGGAAAGCGCTACAGGACCAAGTAAAGCAGGTCAGTTGCCAAACCACACCATGTCCCCTACCTCCATCACCGCGGAAGCCACATTCCAGACCCTTTTGTGTCCATTTCTGGTCATTATACTTTACAAGAAGGCACGGAAGCATTGGGAGATCACAGACATAAGCAGGATACGACTGGGTATTATAGCGATCAGCTTTGATGTCGGGAGCTACGTCTCTCTTACTTAAGATCATAAACCAATCTTGGGCGGGGGGAGTTGGAGGGGGGAATGGATAAGGGAGCGGGTCTTTGAAGCTCTGGCTCGGCGGAAGGTGTTTTGGAATTCAATCGTCTTCCCCACACTGAAAGAATGTTTTTGTTTGTTTTCTCCTGTTTTATCGTTGCCTGCTGCCTGCCCTCACGCCCTGGAATGGAAGTGAGATGCCTGTGGGGGGGGGGGGGGGGGGGTGTGTGTTTGTTATGTAGCAGGTGAATATTGAGTGGGAGATGATTGTCCCAGGAATAGACTTCCCGAGAGACGCGGGCCTTTGGGACCTCTCCCTTTCCTGCCTTCGCGTGTCAACCTGACTCCCACCTCTCTCTGAGACAGAAGGTTGTGGGTTCAGCAGTGGGTTGGTTCACTGTTGTCATTCAACTGACAACAGTCCAGGCTGTCATTCCAATGTAGTGCTGGGGGAGCAAAGGGGAGCAGGGCATTGTGGCATTGTGGCAGGGCATCCGGGTCAGACATTAAGTCGAGGTCCCGTCTGATCCTGTCCAGTTGGACGTTAATGATTCGAAAAGAGAAAGGAGTTGGTCTCGGTGTCCTGGCCGACAATCTCCGGGGGTGGGAGGGGAGCAGAGGGCTGGTCGGAGCATGGAGAGAGTGGGGAGTGGGCTCCAGGGAGTGGGTTTTTTCCAATTTCACGGTAGTTGCATTAAGTCGTAATAACAATATTCCTTGAATTTGATGCAGCGCCTCGTCACGTCGTTCAGGCGTCTCAAAGTGCTTCACTGGATGTACTGTAAAGTGCAGTGGCTGTGTATTTTGTGAGCCAAAGGCGGCAGTGAGTTCCACAAACAGCCACGGAGCGAGTGACCAATTTTATCCGGGAGATTGTCGGCAAGGACACCGCGGGGAGAGAGAGAGAGAGAGAGAGAGAGAAACTCCCTTCTCTTTTAGAATAGCGCCATGGAGATCTTTAACGTCCACCTGAACAGGCAGACGAGGAGCTCGGGTTTGACGAGGAGCGAGAGGTGGATTTCTGCGGGAGTCCAGGAGCAGAGCCTTTGCGTTTTCAATTTTATTTTCTTTCGGTTCAACCAAAGAAACAAACAAGCAAACAAATAGATAAATGAATAAAGCAGAAGAGGTCGGCAGTGCACACCCCAGATTGTTGAGTAAAATCCCAGGCTGGCTATACCCCTTTTAGTTATGAAATGAGATCAGTGGCCTCTCGTGCTGACCTGTGACTCAGTAATACTACTGCCCCATCGCGCACACAGGCACACACTCACTCACACACACACACACGTTACATACGCACACTGCACATCCTGTGATTTCCAGCAACAGTTGGCGACCTCTGTAAAACTATCTCAGCTCAGAGCTCTCCTGCTATTTCTATTTTGGAGACCACCCCCCCCCCCCCCCCCCCACCCCCATAGCGCAGTGGTTAACGCAAGCGAGAGGACCTGGGTTCGATTCCCGGGCCGTGCGAAACCTTCGGCGAGTTTACTTACTCCACACGTCTCTCTTTACTTAGCAGTAAGTAGGAACCCGGTTGCTAGTTGATTGGGGGGAATCGCTTTCCTGGGGTAATCCTCCAAAAACTATTCTAATAATTTGGTCACTCGATCCACGGCTGTTTGCGGGGACGCTGCTGTGCGCAATTGGCCGCCGCGTTTCGCCCGCAAAACGCACAGCCAATTCGCTTTACAGTATATTCCGTGAAGCGCTTTGAGACGGCTCGACTGTGTGATCAGGCGCTGCATGAAAATGCACGGATTATTACTGTCCGTGTTTTACTGTGACGAGCTTGCCTTTCGTACGACTGACAAATAAATAAAACGATTGCATTAAAAGAATCGAATAATCCCATGGAATAATCCGAATAACTGTTCAGAAAGAGAATAAGAGTTTCTCTCTGCGTGTGTGTGTGTGTGTACGTGTGTGTGTGCGTGCGCGCGGGTGTGTGTGTGTGTGTGTGTGTGTCCTGGCTCGATGGCCAAATCCTCCCCCCACCCCCCCGCCCGCCCGCCCGATTAAATCGCTCGCTCACATCACGACTGTTTGTGGGCTGTGTATAAATCAGCCGCCGCATCCGCCTACAAAATGCGCAGTAAAACCCCGCGAGGCGCTTTGAGACGTCTTCCCGATGTGAAAGGACCTGGACGGGTCGCAGGGGATAATTGATCATTAAAAATGTCCTAATTGGTGGGGGTGGGGGTGGGGGGGTTAGAGTGAGTGGGCTTGTGTTTATGTGTGTGTGGGTGGGGGTGGGGGAGAGAATGGGAATGGGGTGAGGACAGGGGAGGAGGAGGGGGGCAATAAGTGGAAGTAAGATTGACTGCAAAACAGTAGTGAAAAGTGGGAGGAAAATACTAAGTGGTACGAAACGAGACAGAGAGGGAGAGAAATGAGGATTGGCAGTAGGTTCAGAGGCAGTTTCATACACGTTGGGAGCAAATGGGAATGGGGCAACACCTCTCCAGACGTCAGTCCCATTGATACCCAATCCCTGTGCAAAAGAAGGAGGACAAAAAGCATGAGCTATTGAGGGTGGCACAGAGCAGCCAGTCTCCTGGTGCACTCAGAGAGAGACAGACAGACAGATAGAGAGAGTCAGACAGACACACACACACACAGAGAGACAGACAGACACACAGAGAGACAGACAGACACAGAGAGAGAGAGAGACAGACACACAGAGAGAGAGAGAGACAGACACAGAGAGAGAGAGAGAGAGACACACAGAGAGAGACAGACAGACAGACAGACACACAGAGAGAGACAGACAGAGACAGACACAGAGAGAGACAGACAGACAGACAGAGAGAGATCTGTCTTGTCCAACTCCCAGCCAACTTTTGGGGGCTGGTGGTGGTGGTGGTGGATGGTTCAACTTGCAGTGGATTTATTTATTCACTTGTCTCCCCCCCACACCCCCCACACACACCCCCAGACACCCCCCCCAGACAGGACCAGGATCTTCAGCATCCAGTAACCTTTAAAGGTGTCTTTTGATTGAGGAAGAGATGGCCACAGACAAGGTAAGGGCTTTGTGCTTCACCACACGTTAGCTGTGTCTGTCTGTGTGTGTCTGTGTGTGTGTCTGTCTGTGTCTGTGTGTATGTCTGTGTCTGTGTTTATGTCTGTGTCTGTGTGTGTGTGTGTGTCTGTGTGTGAGTGAGAGTGTTTCTTTCACTAACATTTCCACTAAGAAAATTTCACTGTCTCTTTGACTTCTTCTCTTTACCCCCTCTCTCTCTCTCTCTTTCCCCCTTTCTCCTTTCTCTCTCTCTTTTCCCCTTTCTCTCTTTTCCCCTTTCTCTCTCTCTTTTCCCCTTTCTCTCTCTCTCTTTTCCCCTTTCTCTCTCTCTCTTTTCCCCTTTCTCTCTCTCTCTTTTCCCCTTTCTCTCTCTCTCTTTTCTCCATTCTCTCTCTCTTTTCCCCTTTCTCTCTCTCTCTCTCTTTCCCCCTTTCCCCTTTTTCTCCTTCACTCTCTCTCTGAGTCTTCCACACTCATCAGATCAGGACTGCTTTATTTTCACTGCTTGTTTTTTTACACACACACACACACAAGTGGTTTGTGTCCACTAATCCTGAACTTGTTAATGTTTCTGAAGCAGTTCGAATATGTTACTGTTCATTTGTAATTATACAAAGATCTCTCTCTCTCTCTCTGCTCTACACTATCCAATTATTCTGAGCAATCTTTTTAAATAAAGACCAGTGCATCTTCTATTAGATCTAATACAGTTGAGATTTTTGTGGGGGTGGAGGTGGGTTTTATTTCAATCATCTGTAATTGAAATGAACACACAGTAAACTAGTGATGGGGGGGAAGGGTCGAATGGCAGAGAGCGCGACACATACACATACACAAACCGACTGATTGAGTGCGGAAGGATGTGTCTTGTTTCAAGTGGCATTTTATTAGATCAAAAATAATGCGAAAGGGATTTCAAGGACCTTTTAAGTTAACGATAAGATACCGAGCGTGCCGAGGGCAAGGTTTCTGGAGTCGTCTGTTTGCTCGTTCTGCGAAATGCTTTCATAAACAATCCTTCGTTTTGACCCGGCCGCCCAGCCAGCGCTGCCTCGAAAAGGGGGGAGAAAAAAAATGTGCTGGGTGTAGTGACTGTGTGTTTCGTAGGTGGAACGCGGCAGCCAACATGCGCGCGCCCGGCAACGCCCCGCAAAACGGGCATGAAGCGAGCGATCACTTCCGAGGCATTTCGCCCCCCCCCAAAAAATACACAATCGATTCACTTGGCGGTATATTCTGCGAAGCGCTTTTGAGACGTCTCGACGACGTGATAAGGCGCTGCGTCAAATGCAAGGATTATTATTAGTAGTAGTATTGCCGGCCATGACATCTGGGAGAGAAAGACATTCACTTTCCTTTTTAGTTCGAGATTGTTGTCATTTGCCTGCAGACTGGACCTCGGTTTAATATCTTATCTGAAAGGTGGTACCTCTTGTCTGTGAGCTCAAAGTCCAAATGCGGAGCTTTAACTCGGGAGATATATGATTCATGAGTCAGGAGGGTGAGTTGGAGCCAGTTTGACCCTGTTTCAGTTAAGACAAGAACATGTCAGTCTGTCTGGATCGGTCACTAGCCGACGCTCTCACCTCTGAATCAGGAGGGTGTGGGTTCGAACCCCACATCGGGTTCAGAGCAGACTCTAAGCTGATGCTCCCAAGGCAGTACTGGGGGAGCGCTGCAATGTCTGAGGTGCCGCTCTTCGGGTGAGGTGTTAGTGTTAGAGGTGTTAGAATAATCCTTGCATTTGTTATAAGAGCCTTATCACGTCTTCGAGACGTCTCAAAGCGCTCCACAGGATATACTGTCAAGTGAAATGACTGTGTGTCAAAGCAAGCTCCCAATCTGCTCCCTGTTCAGGTGGACGTTAAAGATTCCGCGACGCTACTCGAAAAGAGAAAGTGGTTTCTCTCTCCCGGCGTCCTGGCCGACAATCCACCAGAGAAATAATAAAATTGGCCGTTTGCTTTGTAGCTGATTGTGGGACGTCGCTGCGCGGAAATTGGCTGCCGTGTTTGCTTACGAAACACGTGGTCACTACACTTTGGGGTAAAGTCCTGTGAAGTGCTTTAGATGTGTCTACGACATAATAAGGTGCTTATCAAATGCAAAGAGTATTTTGTTGTTATAGCTGAATGAGGACCAACAGCAGGGAAACAGGCCAGACTTGCAAAATGTGCAAGGAAACAGGCACACAAGGGCACGGTTTATAAGGTGGGAGGGACAGGTTAAACAGTAGCTGCTGGCAAGAGTTTAGACTCCTGTCGCTCTCCGTCCCCCCCCACCCCTTTCCCTCCAGACTGTAGAAAAAAAATAGAAGAACCAGCTTTCGGGTCAAAAGAATTTGGTCGCTCATTTCGACCTCAAAATACTCAGTCACTCCATTTTACAGTACATTTTGTTCAGCGCTTTGAGATGTCTCAACGACATGATAAGGCGCTATAGTAGAGTCCGGTTTGTTAGAGCGCTCTCCTTGCCAGCGTTCGATTCCTGGGCAGGGCGAAGCATTGGCCAAGTCTCCCTATTCCACACGTCTCTGTTTACCTAGCAGTAAATAGGAACCTGTTTGTTGGTTGATAAGAGGATCGTTCTTCCGAGGGTAATAATCTCTTCAAGAAAACACTAATAATAATCTGGTCGCTCAATCCACGACTGTTTGCGGGACGCTGCTCCGTGCAATCGGCTGCCGGTTTCGCCCACAAAATATACAGTCAATTCACTTGACGTATCAGGTGAAGCGCTTTGAGACGTCTCAATGACGTGATAAGGCGCTGTAGGAGATGGCAAGTATTATTCTGGGTATAGCAAAGTATTGGGATTTGGTAAGTATATTGCAATTGCAGAGGGCAGTGGGTTCAGGCTATTTCAATGCGCGTAGACAAACTGCAGTTTATTATTAGGTGGAAGCTGTAACTGATAGCTTGTTTTATAAGGTCAACTCAGGGAAAGAGAGTTGAGTGACTGACTGGCTGAGCCGTGGGTCTTCCTGGTAACTAAAGCCTCTGAGAGGTCAGCGGTTGTTCAGTGGGCCCAGAGGACACTGATTCATCGCTTCTTATTGTTGTGCGTGTTTCTTACTCTTGTGACATCTGGGCTACAGGTTGTTCTGTGCTGAGAACAGCCAAATCAATCAGTCCGTGGCCCTCGCCTGTGGTTTAGATGCCGTTCTGTTTGGAGATGAGCAAGCGATTGCGGGGGAAATTGAGTGCTGGGCTCCCTTTGACCACATTTTCGGCCATCTTCACCTCTTTTTTTTTTCCCCCCCCCACCTCTCCCAAACTCCGGACCGTGCTCTGGTCCTCCACCCGCTGTGAAAGTCTGTAGAAATGTAAATTTGTATTGTAAGGTGGGGGAGAGAGATGCTGATAACTTATCTGGGTATTTGCATATAAAAACAAAACCCAAACCAGGTGCCTTGAGAATCCTCAAGGTCTGAGCCTCCTGAGCCTTTGCCTTTAACTTGTTAGGATTAATGCAGAGTTTGGGGTTAATGGTTAAATTCCGCCCTCATTTGGAAGCCGCTATCCGTCTCGTTTAGCATCGCGGCGCCCGAACGCGGACCCGGTTCAGCTGCTCTCCCGAGACATTTGCACCATCTCCCGTCTTACCCCAGAGTGTGCGTTGGGGGGGGGGTGACTGCTGGAGTCTTAACCGGTTAAAACCGCAGAGAGACTGCCGTTGATATCGCTGTCCGGCAAGCTTTCCCGCAGCTTGCCCACCTAGTACCAGCCTACCCCGTTAGGGCTTTGGCTTACAGGGTTAACAGGAGCTGAATGACATTAAACTGACGTAAGTTGTTTATAGTCTGTGAGCTGTATAGCTCTGTTTACCTGAATACAGTATTTCTGTGGAGAATTAACACTCTCTGTTGGTGAGAAATACCACTCGGGTGTAAACGCACTCTTATCTTCTTAGTGTTTCGGGGCACCAGGATTTAGCAAATTCTTAAATCCAGCCTTAATTGTGGAAGCTGTTTTTTCTTTTAAGCTGTTTTAAGAACCCGGGGGGGGGGGGGGCGGGAGGGGGGGAGAGAGACAACGACAAAGAGAGAAGGAAAACAAGACGTCAAATTTAAGCCTGAATTCAATAATTTGCCAATTCCTGGCTAAAACAGCGCACTCGTAGAGTAAACCAGAATTTCTCCCCGCAAGTGCTTTTTCTTTCCGCCCATAAAATACACAGCCACTTGACTTTACAGTGTAACCTGCGAAGCGCTTTGAGACGACTTGACCAAGTGATAAGGCGACGCCATATCAAATGCAAGGTTTATTATTTATTATTTCTACTGTTATTATTTTTACTGGTCAACTGCTTTTCATTTCAAGACCAAAGAAACTTTGTTGACAAACGATGTAGTTGCGACGTTTTCGCAGTAAAATCCTGTGTAAATGTTGCTGGTGTTGAATTTGTTATCATTTAAGGACTGGGTACATTTTAACATGGGTTAGTCAGTCAGTGTCTGACTGAAGCTGTGAATGTATCAGTTCGGGATCTGTTTCATAGGGATAACCTTCTTAGTTAGTTAGTTTCCCTTTAAATTATTATTATTATTAACAATAATAATAATCCTCGGGTTTGATATAGCGCCTTAACACGTCTTGGAGACGTCTTGTAGCTCTTCACAGAATATACTGTCGAGTGAGTTTATATTTTTAAAGATTAATAATAATAACAATGACGACGATGACGATTCTCACGGTTTATTTTGTTTATCGCCCCCTCTATTCCCGACCGCCCCCCCACCCTACCCCCCCCACGGACTGCGACTACTGATCGCGGCTGTTACATAAACGGACGGCTTAGTGGTCAAGTCATGTGAAAGGAATAACGCGGTTTAAGTGCATTTTGGGATTGGTTGCTATGGCTACAGTGAATCTCATAAATTCTAAATCAGCACATATATTTTTGTTTCCTGCAAGCAGCAGCCTCCTCGCTACCAACTCAGGATGTCATTTAGCGGCGAGAAATGGACCGAATAAGACACGGGTCCTAATGGAAGCATTT